TGCCCATGACCAGCAGATGAGCCTTATTGATTTTGGGGTCAATGGGTCAAAGGTCAAGGTCACGTTTATCTTGTTGGTAAAAATGGTTGACGATCAATAACTTGACATCCCATGAGCTGTAGGCCCTCAAACTTCGTAGGTGCATTTGACTTAACGATTAGATAACCCATATTGATTTTGGGATCAAGGGGTCAAATGTCAAGGTCAATATTAATCTTGTATGTGAAAACGGTTTTCCATCAATAACTTTACAAGCTCATAGCTGCTGGCCCTCAAACTTTGTAGGTGCATTGGTCTTAGCCAGTAGATGACCCCTATTGATTTTTGGGTCAGAGGGTCAGTGTCATATTGACATTGTACTTAAAGGCGGTTTCTGACCAATAACTCAACAACTTAAGTTGCCTTGGTTGATATTTTTATATTAAACTTAAAATGCTTTTCGTATACACATTTGAAGGTCTTATTTAATATAACTACTTGGCTGTCATTAATGTGGCCTACATGATTCATAAAATTCATATATATATTATTTGACAACATTTGTAATAACTTTGTTATAAAATTGCTGCACACAAACTATGCGGTCACAATGATTATTACCTAGTGACTAGTCATGACCAGTAGATAACCCTTATTGCTTTTGTTCACTAGGTCAAAAGTCAGTCATAATAACCTGATTACATGACTAATTGGCTGCCGATAGGGGGCATACATGTTTTACAAACATATCTTGTTTTTAATGTTTCTTAATGATTTGAAATCAGAATTTTATGTTAAATGAGTAAATGGTATTGATATTGACACTTTCAAAATATTTTTAATTTGTATGCAGATGAAATCATTTTTGCTAATTCAGCAACTGAGTTGCAAACTAACTTGAATATATTGTATGAATATTGTGAAAGGTCGAAACTTGTTGTGAACACTGATAAAACAAAAATAAGGATATTTAGGAAAGCTGGTCGTTTATCAGAAAACATATTTTTATTACAGTGGCAACTCTATTGAAATTGTAAATAAGTTTAATTACTTAGGAATTGTTTCCACTACTGGTGGTTTTTTACCGATGCATTAAATAATATAGCTGGCCAAGCTTCAAAAGCTATTTTAAGATGAATAAATACCTCTATAAATTCACATATATTATAGTGAAACATAAGCTTGAACTTTTTGATAAACTGATTACACCTATCTTAAATTATGGTAGTGAAGTGTGGGGGTTCACAAAAGGTTGTGCAATTGAAATAGTTCATATGCAGTTTTGCAAGCAACTTCTTGGTGTTAAAATATGTACACAAAATGATTTTGTTTATGGTTAAGGGCGTTAAAAGTTTCAAACTTTGAGATATTTAAAAATTGTTAAATATTTGGTTAAGTTATTACAGACAAAAGATAATAAGTTTAACAATAACATTTATATTACTTTATTAAATGACTGTGAAAGGTTTCCTAACAAGAAAAGTTGGTGTTCACTATTGAGGGATCTTTTATGTGCACTTGCTTTTAATGATGTGTGCCTTTTCAAAGATGTATGGGATAAAGTAATATTTTTGCACTATTTTGAGCACAGATTGTCTGATTATTTCATACAAAACTGGAATTGTAGACTTAACAGCTCAACCACAGCCCTACCTGAATTTTTGCAACATACAAAAGTTTTGTTTTAGCTTATCAAGATTGTGTATGTCATCTCAAAGATTAATCAGATATATTAAATATATATATATATATATATATATATATATATATATATATATATATATATATATATATATATATATATATATAACCTTTTGGCTTTTTAAGGACGTTTTGTATATATATATATATATATATATATACAAAACGTCCAAAAGGTTAGGATACCAGGCATACATAACTCTGCATAGCTCAATCGGTTAGAGCGCGAGACTTGTAATCTCTACATTGTGGGTTCGATTCCCGGGTTGGCCAACTAAAATTACTAATCAGTCTTTCGAATGAGACTTTAAATCGAGGTCCCGTGTATGGGTGCTTAAACACTTCGCACGCTAAAGAACCAGGAGAAGCTTCTGGAGTTGGGGCATCTTTCTGTATCTGTAATTGCACTATCCTCCAAAAAAATAAAATGACTAATACTCTTCTGGAGAACTCGCCCATATGGGCAACCGGTGGCGAGTATAAATAAACGTAAATTAATACACACAAACCTAGGAAAACAAACTAATGACGCAAAATGAAAACAAGCAAATGGAACAAACTACATATTGTTGCTACAGTATTTTTAAGAACATTAGTGAGAGAGTCCATCACCCATTTATTGTTTTCATTTTTTAAGCATTTGACTCCATCGTTAAAAGAGCATGACGTAACGACGCAGCCTGTGTTATTACAATGGCAAGGACTAATTTGTTTCCAAAATAACATACCTATCTATAAGAAAAGTTGTTATTATAGAAAGAGAACGGAATTCAAGTTTCTTCGCATTTGTAACCAATTCTGAAAACTGCTTTAAACTGTTGTCCAAATATTTGGCTTGGAACTGGTGCCATAATTGTCAATTGAAGAAAAAGTTCAGATTTACGCTATAAATAATTGCAAAATAAACATATTTAAGTAGTATTTTGCCTACCGTACTCCCGGTTGATGTAATCACAACTTTTAAATCATGACGCAGATCAGATAATACAAGAAAACGAAATAGCTTGCAACTGAAGTCCGCTCGTATACAAGCAACTTTCAAGGTTATACAAAGTGTTTGATAAAACGGCTCATATACTGAAGGAGAAACACTATTCTATGACAAGCTTATATTTTTCTCCAAAGAATGGTGCATATCCTAAAGAAATCGGTGCAGAAATAAAATATTTAAGGCAATTTTCCTTTTCGAATCGAGCAATATTTGTCTTGGGAATGATGCCGTATATGACGTTCAGGTCACGTGGCATTGCTACACTGAATTTGGTAAGGTATTTGTAAGGAGCACATTTTTTTGCGGCGGAGCTTGTCAATTGCTGCATTGCAGCAACATTTGTACTTGTACTGTTATATTGTCACTACTTTAAACCAGTAGCGAAGACTTTACCGAGATGGCCATTATTTCTTGTAAATCAGTCTCTGTAAATTCTTTAAGACTGCCTCTGTAAATTCTCTAAGACTGCAACCAATTTTACGGGTGATCAACCATTTCCTTGGGTGCACTTTGTTTGCAAGCAGACAGTTTTTGGGGTGCATTAACTTGCAACCATTTTCTGGGATGATCAGTCAGTTTTTGGGGTGCATTTTAGTTACGGTTGCAGATTGAGTATAAAAAGGCTGGGATTGCCGCATTTCGGGAGTCATATGTCAGAATTTCTAACGTAAAGCTACACTCGGTTAAATTCTCGTTAGCATTTATAAAAATAAGTTTACACTTAAAGTAAGCGGGTTATTTTATCTAGATACACATTTTTATTCACTTAAGAGTTTTGATAAGCTGTTTCATTTATTAACAAATATTTGTACATATTTTATAATTGTCAGTGATAAACAATTCTGGTTTTTTTTTGCTACGCTTCACTGGTGCGCCATTTTGTTCTCGCGCGTATCTTAACTGTGGGAAGTCGTTTATGCTGCTATAAAAATTAGAAAGTTGACAATTAGGAAAGCATTGTGAATTATTTGAGTTTTAAGGTAACAATTAATAAGAATTGTTAACACAAGTTTTAAGTGATATTTCTGATGCAAAGCAACTAGTTATATTAATAATTAATACATTTGGTTATATGTTATAATTAAAGAGTGAATTTCTCTTGTGTAAATAGCAAGATTACATTATCAATTGAGTTTCTCTTGTGTGAATTGTATGATTACATTATCAATCTGTGAAGAACATTAGAAATTGATATTAATGTGTTAGAAATACTTCATGTTTAACTGTTTATCTAAAACTGTCGAACTCAGTGCTTTATTAAAAGTTATAAACTTAATTACGACTTTCTCCTATGTGATGTGTTACTATTTATAATAGGTATAGTTTTTCATTACTTAGTATATAAAAATCAGCGAAGACAGTAATGTCACATGCCTAGGTCGTGACAAAATAAGCAAAGCTAGGCTTAGTTCCAGTCATTTTTGTATCAATAATGGTCATACTAGGATTAATTGCAAAACTTGAATGTATGAAGTAAAAGCATCTATCGATCACAAAGGTTTTGATAATTTTATCAAACGCTTAAAGGCCAATATCATGTAAAAGTCAATGTGTCAATATCATGTAAAAGTCAATGCCAACTTAGGTTTAATATATTTGAAGTTTTGTTCCAAAATGGTTATTTGTCTAAGTCTGAATATAAACATTCCGACAAGTTCAAATTATTATCTGAATGTGTTCTTATAGACTCTTTGTCAATTTCTTCTGTCAAATTGATTAAATCTGATTGAGCGGTTAAGTGCACAGACGGTAAAACTCAAGGACGCTTAAAACTTCAACCTCCGTTTCTTTTTGAAATTCATGTCTGCACTATTTAGAATTATACGGAAAACATTAAGTTCTAATAAAGAATGGACACTCTAATTTATTAATTGATTGATAGATCATAGTAAACCGATTATTATCTTATTCAAAAGTTCATATTTCTCATTTTGTAAAACATGTTGTTTTTTTAGACCCAAAAATACTTTTGTGCCGTTGACATTTTAGAAGATTCTTACATTGTAAAATCCAAGATTCCAAGTTTCTAACAAGGTTGCACCAATTCCTATGATAATATCTTCTTTTAAAATGAAGTACACTTTTCCTACATATTCTTTCACATTTAAAATCACTTTTTAAGCGATTAATTTGAAAGAAAGCCTACCGAGTCCACCAAAAATAAAATTATTTCGTGTAGTTCTCAAAACACTTACAGAACTGCATGCATATGTGAATATTCATAATTTAGAATATTGAAGCATGTTCATCAAAAAGTGCTAACCTATATTAATGTAAATATGAAAATGATAATTTAATCTAAAAAAACACTTTCAACATATGATTTCAGGTATGAAAGCATTGCAAATGTGCCACAAAACATGGAAATCAGGTAGGGTAAGATTTCATATTACTAAAGTAGTGTGAGTGTGTAACAGCCGGTGAAAAGAAATAGGAATGCCACTATCATGTCGTTCCGCTGCTTTGGCTCGAATAGACTTCAGATACTATGTTTTACACAAGTATGCCTGGTTTCTTGAAATAATGTCTATATTATTTGTTTGTCTTTGTTTTAACTTTCACTGTTCACATTACATGATCATATATATGCTTATGTATGTTTCTTTTTTGGGATATTTTGGATTTTAATCGTATTTTTATGATACGTTTGTATAATAGGATATGAATGACATCATAAAGCTCTGTGACTGTATCATAAGTACATGTCATGAAAACAATATTATGTCGACACTATGTTATATCATAAATAACATCAATGTCCAATGTTTTGCAACTAGCGCACAACGGCAATGTTTGAGTAATGTAAAGCCTGACCTGGACTCAAACCATCAGGCCCTAAAATACCGCCTTGAGGTTCTACCGATTGACCTATCCGGTCACTAACTCTCCTTTTTAATTAGATACGTTTTCTAGATAGTATTAGATTCTATTTAGCTTTATAAACAAACAAGCTCTCTCTCAAATTTACAAACATAAATGTTGTCAAAAATGATGCCAAGGATTTTTAACATTACAGAACTACTATTCTCTAATTTTTCAACGCATTTTCTCTTTTTTGATTATGAAAAGACAAATAATAAATTTCAGACTTTAGAATGTTAGATAAGGAACTCGTAATTTTCTACAATTAATCAAAATTTGACCATCTTTAAGTGTTTTTATTTTGTTATTTACTTATATTACAAATTGTTTTATTTACGTTAAAACAAATCTTACATATATTTTCCTTGTTTCGTATCCCCACCACTTAATAAAATATTTAGCCCTAAATGTGTATGCTAAATATCGAATTCGGTCTTGAAAATATGAAATATATTTTCACTTTCGGTTCTTTTGAGCACCACGTGTAAAATGTGAGATATTAGAAACACAGTATGACTGTTGCCCGTAGTTTGCCGTTAACTTTTGTTTAAAACAAAACCTTCGGAACAGTTAGGTCTATGTTGTGTCACAAAAATGTTCGTTGCATAAAGCTTTATTAAACTCATTCGTGGCACTACTCTGGTTGACATAGTTTCCGACAGAAAATATAAGAAAAATCATCTGCTTTCAAAATCATAAGGGTAACAGCTACATCTTGCAGGAAACATCGTTCCGATGGTATCTGCTTAAATTGTTCCAACTATTACCCTAGTAAAAAAGTCATTTCATTACCCTATATGCAACTAATGAATTATAAGTTTTTTTTCCTGTAAAAAAGGCAAAGACTTGGTTTAGATGTTTTGCTCAAAGAACTAAGAAAGTGAAAATTTATTTCAATTGTATGCGAATAGTCCTTCTAGTGTAGCTTATTAGTAAAAAAATGAGAAAAATGTAGGCAAAATGCAATGATACAAAACATAAGAAAGATCTGTAAAAGATGTAAATATATATTTTGAACGCATCTTTGTGAATATAACAATCTTTTTATTGAATTTATATGATACATTCAGTAACAATCGCGGGGTTTAAAAATGACTCCAGCGCATGTTTTAAATTAACGTTTGAGACGAAACAAATGCTCGAATAGTTGCTAACTTATCAATAAAAATGACACACAAAGAGCGATTTCACCCATTGGTATGAATTTCTGATGAAGTTTTGAAGAATATTTTAGATGGTAGCAAATCTTTTAAGAATGGGAGATGACTATCGGATAATTAAATGAAAGAAAAAAGAACTTGGGTCATGTCTTTATCTTATATACACATTATCAATGCAACACACTTTTCTTACCACAGTGCCTGTTTCATATATTTGAAATTAATGTATGCTTGAATCTTTACTAAACGATTGAACACAGAGTTACTACCTATAGACAATATATACGTATATCACATGGATGCACCATAATAATATTATTTGCACGGTTTTTTTTTCAGGGAAAATGTTACCCTTCGCAAGCATAGTCTTCGGCCAGCAAAAAGCATGAAGAACATTAATTCAAGACAAAATGAAGATAACCCAAATGAAAAAAGGTAATTTTTAAGAGTAGTATGCAAAACTCTCAATGCAACAATGTCATTTTGAATATACTATACATTATCTTTTATGGAAATTTTTCTGCGTCCAACCTCGTAACTTATTAGAATAAATTAGTCACATACATGTGAAACCATAAGATTTCCTTTTAAACACTTAGAATAAAGTTTGTATTGATTGCATCAAAAATGGCTTTGCACATGCAAATGAAGATGCAATCACTACTATGCACTCGTGAACAGCACATATGTAAGAGACAGTTTGTCACATAACAGAACATGTAATTCAGCTACCTTTTCCCTAATATAGACGTGTTTTGACGGCTTTTTTGCCCCCCCCCCACCCCCACCTTTTGAGGCCTCAAACAGTAAAAAATGCCCTATTTAGGCCCCAAACACTATTTTTTGTTTGAGAAATGTTGTATAAAAGTGACCACTTTTTCGGCGCAGTCCCCTATCAAAATGATACATCAGGGGGTTGCCAGAAGTGGGATGTGCCCCCTTCTGTTTGGGGGGGGGGGGTGAATCGCCAAGAAAATTCCGGACATTGACAGGCCAAAAATGGCCTCAGGTCGATCTTAAGGTAACGCTGAAAAGCCTTTTACTCTATCTAATTGCATTGAGATCACTGATTACTTTGAAATCAGTTTTGATGGGGCAATGCAAAATAGTGATTTTTGCCATCGTAACAGGGAATGTGAGATTCAGCATGTTGTTACAGAGGTTATGGTTTAGTCAACATATGTGCTAAGTTTCAACAGTATTGAAGCATTTTCCATAGTTTTATAGCAGTTGGAACTTGTAACAGGAGGCTTTTCAATGAAAACGTCCATTTTTCACAATATGCTCATGAGGTAAAAGAAAAGAATAATCCTCAATCATGTTAAAGCAATATGTGTGAGTTAAGGTAGATTTACTCTCTTTTAATTTCTGGACTGCTATAAAGGATTCGAAATTTATTTCAGACTCAAATGCATTGTACCTGCTTCACATGATATCCTATCCAGTTTCACTATGATGGTACTAGGTAGATATGTTATTTAGGGTTGGCATTAATTAAGAGTGGAGAATAACAGTATCGAATTATGTTCCATCCTCTTCGAATAGAGGGTTTATATTGGTTGGTGGAGAATGCTCGTTGTTTATCAGTGACCGTATACAGTATAATCATGTTTACTCGTATACATTTGTACACCTTTTGGACGGTGTCAATGGCGATTTATTCATTCTCGCGGAAAATATATAATAAGAAGTCGGATATTTTATAAAACTTTAAACAGTCTTTGAGTAAACATTACTCAGAAAGTTGGTATTAATTTCATTTGCCATAATAAATCAGTTCTATACGTGATTGAATCGGAAAAAACATAAACGAACTAAATGTCTGTTAATGACTAACAAAACCATTCATCCGTGAATCAAAGTGACCAGTTTCATCGTAATTTTTTATGTGTATGCGGTTATGACAGGTTTCTTTATGTTTATCTATTTCAATAGCTATAAATTTCAAATAAGACATAATCCTATATAAAAAGTCAAACTGCAATGCCTTATATGAATCATCGACCCAGATGTCACAATCCAAGACGCAACATTGTTTATTGCATCCAGTTTCGCCGAAGATTGACAATACGGGAATATTGTCAAAACTTGAAGCTTTAGTTAAACTTGAATCATTGAAAGAAAGTATTAAAAATAAAACTATTAACTACTGTTCTCAAATGAATCATTTGAAATCCGAAGTTGATGAACCGAATGAAACAAAATGTTGAATTTAAAGAAAACAGGGTATATCACAAGTTTATAATGAGAAATATAATGCAAGGTGATATAAATAACATTAAGAAAACCAATCTTGATTAAATGGTGACAATTAATTTTAACGACAAGATCGATAGGGGACAATAATTTTGGTATTCAAACATTTCATTGACAATTCTTGACTTTTGTCAAAAGTCTAGGAATGATAAATGCAAAGACAAACAGACTTTGATCGTGCAAACATAATAGTAAAGTTCTTTTCAAAGTTGCAAAGAAAACACGTCTCATTTAGCTGCAAGTATATTCCAAAAGAACTTTGGTAAAACCATTAGTCATTCTTAAAAGACCATCGGATTTAAGATTATCCATCCAAGTGCACTGTGAGAAAAAAACTTTAGGCTTCTCAAAGCACGCGGAGGGGACTATGATTTTTTCTTGAATATCGGACAGAATTTTAAATCGAGTTGCTTGTTGTAAATGTGATCATTCATACGTTACTTAAAGAAAACAAAAAGGGCCACGATGACCCTGAAATCGCTCACCTGAATATAGGTCCCTGGTCCAATGCCAATTTAAAACCAGGAGCTTTAATTGACACTACTTGGTAGATACCCATTAGAAGATGTTTCATGGTAAATATCTTAGTTCTAAGCTCAAGTTTTATGCCAAATATTTAAGCTCTAGCTTTTACAGATTTCTAAAAGAAGATATTTTAATTTTTTGTCTTTCGGTTCCCATGGCAACAAGAGTTCTGCTTAGAATTAAAATTCTTTGAACAAGTTCTTAAGTTCACTACCAAAGGAACATCCCTGTGAAGTTTGGATGAAATTGGCTTTGCAGTTTATGAGGAAATTTCGTTAAAATTAAAGTTTACGAACAGACGGACTCCTGACGAAAAGCGATCACAAAAGCTCACCATGTCACTTTGTGACAGGTGAGCGAGCAAAAACTGCTGATTGAAAGTGTTAGATTTTTGTAAGTTCTTTAAAAAATAATTTTTATTTAATATTTAGTTGTCGTCACTGATGGGAATATTAGGTATCGGATAATTGCTGAAAATTGACAGGCCTAGACAATTACCCTCGACCTCAATAATCCGGTCTGTATAGGTGTCGCGTAATAATCAAACAGGCGTAATATTTCCACGTTCTAAAGATGTTTTAAAAATTGCCTGTGACTTTGTTCACAAATAAAGCGCTCTGAAAATTAGCATAAATCTCCAGCATAGAACAATTATTTCGGAGCATGTATTTGAATATTCTGAAAATATTATTTTCATGGAGAATTTATGCGTGAAACATGAGCAAAATTGCCAAATTTTGCATATTTCGTAGGGTATTTTTAAAAACCTTTAAGGTTCTTTAAGTATTAAATTCATGAAAATGAATGCTATTAAAACTTGGGTGTTAAACTTTGTTTTTCTCCATTGTTTTTGTTCTAAACGGGCTGGAACTGATCTTAGGCTGTAGTTTAAAAATGAACAATTTCTCCGAAAACTAGGTCAAAATACCCGAAAGGGTTCTTCAAATGTAAAATTTGTTATTCATAACCATACACATTTATTCTTACATGTTCTACATGTACTATTCACAATCCAATGATTGGTTTTAATCAACATTCACCATAAATATAAATTAACCGATTTAAAGCGGCTAGTATCCTTTGGCTGTTTTAAAAAATGGCGAACAAATCCTGTTGAAATGTGATCTATGCAGTTTTCTAACTGACTTAGTACATATGCGTCATTAACTTACATTAACTTTGAAATAAAAATGCTACAAAATGTTTTCTCAACTCAACAAACAATTGAGACAAAAATGGCAATTCAAATTAACAATAGAACTCCACAACTTTACTGTATGACAGATATACGTTTAAGTGAAGCAACAGTCAAGCTGGTGTTATGCCAATTGATGATGAATTATATACTTACAAAAGTATGGTGTCTGCTTTCTGCCATTTCATTTTTTTGTTTGGTTGTATCAATAACATAAAAGAGAGCCAAATGAGAAACATTTTTTTATTTTGTCATGCTATTTATTTCCGGTTGTCAGTATTTCGTAAATGGGTTCTTCAACCGTGACAACACAAAAAAAAGGTAAAATGAGCGAGGGGAGGCATTTTCCCCCTTGCGAGAATAAAAATTAATTTCGTTTTCCCATATAATCCCCTTAAATTTCGCGTTTTATCAAACTGTCACCTCTGCGTACCACTGACGCCACTCTATAATTATTTTTCATTATTCTGTTTTGTCGCAGTCAAGGGGGTTTACATGAAGAAAAGACAAAAATAATTGAAACTAAAATAAGGAAAACAACAAACAAAACAAAGAATTGTGCAGTCTGATCGGGATTCGAACCTAGGACCAAACTGCGGCTTTGCCGACTGAATTTTTTACACATCTTCTTACTAAATAGTAACATTTCTTAAGCGTGAGATTAGATAGATAGATAGATATATATTTATTCAGGTTATTTATTATTTCCTCATTCATCATCAAATTTATCAGGTTACAGGGCAATGTGAATAAAATCTGAGCTATATTCAGTCACGGCCCATAGTTTTGCACCAAATGCCACAGGGTAAGAAGAATGTACAGTCTTACCTGGACTCGAACCTCAGACCCTCGAAATACCGTACTACAGCTCTTACCAACTGACCTATCCAGCGGCTTGCACATCTTCTCCCTTAAATATAAACAGTTTTGAAAGGACTTGCCTTTTTAATGAAATCTTTTTCTTTTTTTTGAAAACTAATTAAATACCAAATAAACAATGAAATATGAATTATACACCTCATTGAAATTTTACAAACCCCTTTGGTGTAAAAATCCTGGATCCATATCGGTAAACAGCTGATTTCTATAAGTCAATTAGTGTTTTCTATTTATACATGTACAGAAACATAATTATGGTGTTTTCAATGTCTCTCCGACAATATCTCTCATACAATATCTTTCATACAAGTTAATGTTCCATGTTCCTGCATTTTTATTCAATATGCTCTGTTGGATAACAAAGTATATGTATATTTGTGTGTTAAATTCTAGTGATTATATTCTTTGTACAAATCCAAAATGAAATTGTGTTCTGTTCTGTTCCGTCTGTATGTAAAAATAGACAGTTATTTGGAACTATTCAATTCTGTATGTTTGGTTAAATATAAAATTATGCGATTATCACGACTTTAATGCCGCAGGCGGTTTATACATTTTTTTCGAGATCTTGTTTAACATCAAAACATTTTAAAAGTTTGCATAAGCCTTCAGATGAAGACACATTTAGACGGGAGAAAATAGTTTTATAATAAACATAAATCGCGCGTGAAAATATTACACACGACACAGGCAACTGGTGTAAATATTTTGTAATCTTGTTATTCAAGGTCAACGATAATACTGTTTAAACATATGGAGTCTGTCACGTTAATTCTCTTTAAGTTGTAGTATTCGGTGTATACTTCCCTAACCCTGACTTTAAACAATGTTAATGCACGTGTATGAGATTCAAATGAAAAAATAGTTAAACATAGCAAAACCGTTTCATTCATTGCTTGTAATATATTCATCATTATATTGCTTGCTCCTACAGAAGGCCGAATTCCTCTATTTAAAGTATGTATTACAGTGTATATAAATTGAAGTAAAACAGCCTTTGTAAAAAACACATTATATGCTGAATATTCAAAATACTGCAAATACAATGTATTTTGTTCTTTTTTTTCTTTACTCTTCCTTTTCGATTTTAGCTCAATAACTGACAACCCTATATCATTCTCAGCAAAGAAACGCATTTTTTCTTAATCCTTATCGGTCAATGTCACAATGTCAATCCATGAATAATATTAATGATATGAATAAAAATGAAAACGTTATGCATGACATGATAACTTCATACATGCAAAAAAGAAAGCAATATTAATTATGTTCACTTTCAAAAGAGTGGGGGTATATTAATTGCATTGGTCTGTCGGCCAGTTGTTCCATCGGTCCAAAGACAAAATGGTTCCGATCAATAACTAAAGAACGCTTAGGGCTAGGATTTTTTTTACTTGGAATGCGAATTGTTCAAGACCAGTGCATGACTTCCATAAATTTTGTGGTGAAGGGGTAAAAAATCAAGTTCATATTGACCTGGTATGTAAAAACGGTTTCCGATCAACAACTAAAGATCACTTAAAACTAGGACTAGCATTTTGATTGTTCTTGGCTTGTAGATGACCCCAATTGATTTTCAGGTCAAGGGACAAAGGTCAAGGTCACCTTGACTCTGAAGGATAAAGCGATTTACGATCAATAACTTGACAACCCAATGGCCCTACGCCCTCAAACTGCAAAGATGCATTGGTCTGGGCGAGTAAATAACTTCTATTCATTTTGGGGTCAAAGGGTTGAAGGTCAATGTCACATTGACTTTGAAGGTAAAAACGATTTCTGATTTATAACTTGACAACATAGGTGCATTGGTCTTGGCCAATAGATGGCCAATATTGATGTTAAAATGAAGGCGTTAAAAGTCAAGATCACATTGACTTTGTAGGATAAACGATTTCTGATCAATACCTAGACAAACCTTTGGCCCTAGGCCCTTTAACTGCATATGTGCATTTGTCTTGGCCAGTAGATGACCATTATTGAATTTGGGGGTCAAGGGTCAATTGTTAATGACATATTGACCTTGATAGTAAAACGATTTTCGATTATTAACTTGACAACCATGGGCCCTTGGCCATCAAACTGTATAGGTACATTGGTCTTGGCCAGTAGATAACCCATATTGATTTAAGTGTCAAAGTCACATTGACCTGTTACGTCAAAACGGTTTGCGACCAATAATACAACAAGTCAAGTTGCCTTGGTTGATATGTTTATTTAACTAAAAATGCTTTTGGTATACACAATTCAAGATATTATATAATATTACAAACTGGCTTTCATAAAGGATGCCTGCATGATTCATAAAATTAAATCATGATATTTGTGATAAATAGTCCGTCACAATAACCTGCCTACATGACTAATTGGTAGCCGATAGGGGGTATTCATGTGTTGTTATATTTTTCTGGTCCTTAGGGGTCGTTGATGCCAGCACTATAATTGAGTGTTGAAAAATGAGTACCGCTTAAATCGGTGCTAGAGGACGTGAGGGGTGTTGCACATATTCATTATCCTTCATGTACAGACTCATTCAAACCGAGTCGGCAATTTTCATGTAATTTTGTATGATTAATGCTTCCTAGCGATCACTTTGTTTCCGGATTTTTTTTCTACAAACACATCTTGTTAATTATATTATTACTGTAGCATTAAGTTAAAATCTGAAAAATCATTTATAAAAACAATAGAATTATAGTTATAAACAGTGTTTAAAACTGCGCCCCTTTTTACCGAAATTAGCATTTATTTCTACATTCTACCCAAAATTTGTTGCATTTATATTTTTTTTCTTGAAATAGGGAATACGAGGGTGTATATTATGGAAATATTGGTCGGATAGTCGACAGAAACTATTTGTAAGTATTCTATTTAAGTGTTACCTGGAAAGGGCCTTTAATATGTTGTTATTTTTTGTAAATTAACGTGAACTTGTATTAATATAACTTATATACTTATTTTAACTTATGGTTCCTATGTCATTTTCTCTTTTTTCGCTTAACTAGCTTTAAAATATATTCAATAAAAAATATTTGACTGTAATGCTTTGTAATCTGAATGTCACAAGTTCATTTATTAAAAAGTCTTAGTATATCTCGTCTGCTACTATCGTTCATTACACATTAACTGCCTCTAGTGTTCTGCTCTCTGTTCCACATCAATTTATATAACTTAATGAATATTTCAATTATAAGTAACAGTCCTCCTGTTAGAAAGGCGAGCTGAAACAAAAATCTTGAAGACGCAGCAAAATTAACGTTTTGTTTCATTACGCCAGTTCATGGACGACAATGGTAAATGAATGTTACCGATCATGACCCATAACACATTGCTAAAGAACACAACATTAAACATATTAAAAGTCAAATTTAAGGAGTGAAGGGTAAAAAATCATTTCGAAAGATAACTTGAACCACATAAGGAGAAATTAAAACATTAAATAAACTACAAATACTACAGAATCAACAAACAATATCGCACCGAACACCTTAATGTAAATGAGAAAGTTTTATTAAAAAGTATGGGGAAATTTATACTGCACGCAACACGCCATTAACAATGCTAATTGGACTTGCAGATAAAATGTATGTGCAAGGTCTCCAATCAACTGCAAAATTGCATAATTATATAGCCTTTTAAGGGACAAAATTGCTAAGAACCAACGTTAGACTCAACATTTAAAAATGACAACACTTAATATGGAGTAGTTCAAGTCTTTACTTAAAAAAAGGATATTCACTAAAACGCTTTATATGAGCACAGCTTGTATGTGTTGTTAACACTGTATAATTACAAAATTTTCCGGTATTGACAGAAATCACGTACTTTAATTAACCATTAGCATATTGTTTAACATTGAATAGAAATGGATAAATTACTTAAACACCTAATTCAGAAAAGGTTATATATATCATATGATAATAGCTTTTCGAAACAAAATCATATTATCTAAATTTAATACTTGTCATTTACATTTGTGCACATAAAGTAATAGTACTTAATTTCAATGAATCATATTCTCTTAAGACATGAAACATATAGTTTATGACATCAAGCCATAATATGAAGGAAAGTTAATTTTCCATTTCAGAATTTATACAAATATTTACAAGTTTTAATCACATAAGAGTTTTGCTCATGTTAGGCAATTATGACGTTAATATGTCACAAAAAAGTACTTGAACAAGATATTTATTTTCCTATTGAAACATTCGTATTTAGAATATGCAATTAAAACATTTACACAGTATTAACAGTTACATATATTGTCTTGTTTGATTAACTTTATAACTTACAGATGTGACTAAATGAGCTTTAAAACCGCCCTTGATTGTCAATTGTCAAATCTCAAAATATGTACATGACTAATTTATAATTATATGTCGAATCAGAAACTAGGAAGCTGAGACCTTAAATCAAGTGTGCATTGCCTTCATGAATGGGCATATGAAGAATTTCAAAATAATAAACAGTCTCACTAACCTGGAGAAAGTACATACGAGTGTTGTAGATATTCGTGACTAGGTAGCCATTTGCGCATGACATCAAAACTTTGTGAACTTTTTCAGCACAATAACTGGCAACCTGTATCATCCTCAACAATCCAAATACAAATGATGATAAAGCATCTTTTTCTTAGTGCTTATAAGTCAATGTCACAATGACCATCAATCATAGAAATGAAAACAGACAACGATAGTGTATGGCATGATAACTTCATATGTGTATAGAAGGTATCAATACAAATCAATATTTGCAAAAAAATACACGTAATGGGTATAATTTAAGAAAATATTTTGTGGGTTTCACCTTAAAATATCATAACATTTGCTTAAATTGTTTGGCAATATTGACCCGAGACTCATTAATTTTTGGAAGCTTTATCGTAATTTTCCGTAATGTAATACGGTTAATTAATTGATTTTTTTTAAGTTGGAGAGTTCCCGATACTTTATTTTATACTTACGTTCCGATGGCTTAGTGGCAAGTTTGATAACATAGCAATCACGAAGATGAAAATTCGAATCCTAAAGGAACATTTTCAGATTTCTTTAATAATATTTAATTCTATAAATTATATGCAGCAATTGTAGATGAATCATTTCGGAAATTTCTGGTATCTTTTCTTTAAAAACAATCATAGCTTTGATATATAGATGTAAATTTTAATAATTTAAATTTAAAGAGCCGTACAATGGGAGATTGGCATGTACGAGAACTTAGTAGCAGACAAGTTTCGCAATAAATAATTGAAAAACGAAACAAAAATCACACACATAAAAATTTATGTTTCAATTGGATTTGAACCTACAACCTTCACGTTGAAACATGGAGTCTTAACTACTCAATGCCGAGGCTAGTTAGGCAAGTGTTATTTCGCAATATTTTAGTTATAAATAAACCATGTATACCGTTATACCATACATAAAATTTAAAATCCGGGAGCCGACAATTACCGACAAAAGGTCATTGAACATTCAAATATCTCAGGTCAATATTGCCAAAAAATACTTTAACATCAGCAAGTGTAGAAATGATTCGAATTCACTTCAAATTATTTATATGTATAAAAAGTTTATTTCTCATATCAGATCATCTGGTGGTGTAAATTATGAATATATGGGTTGGAGCCACAGCAGCAATCATTTGTAAGTATATCGTTATAAAGTTGCATGACATTTAATGCTTTTGATGGTGTATTTTGCCAAATAACCTGACATTTTTATAACAACCATATAATATATACAAAAACAACTATGCACGTTTTACTAGTTTATAAAGGTACCAAAATGAAATTCATGAAATATTTTAAAAAAAATGGTTAACAGCCATATCACGCTAGTACTTCTGTTAAATAGTTTCGATGATTCTAGCATTCCACTATTTAGGTCACCTGAGCACGTTCTCGCGGTGAGCAATTGTGAATCCCTTTTGTCCGTCGTGTGCGTCGTCATGCGTCAACATTTTTATGTTACATCTTCTATAAAGCCAATGACTTAACATGAATTTTTAAATGGTTCTGGTCTATTGCATTAGGTCATCTGGCCAGAAAGGAAGTTTCAAAAGTTTAAAGAATCTTCTTGCATGAAAGTACAATGCTAAGAGCATTGCTATGTGGAATATGATATTATATAGGTATCCTCTACTGAAAAACAAGTCAACTTTTGCCCATATTTTCATAATTGGCCAAATCCCGGGGGATCATATGTCTTTTTTCTAAAATAAATATATAAAAACGCTTCTTCTCTGAAATGACAACAAAGGGGAGAGTTTAGATAGATTTGGGCTGGAACATTGTGTAGTGAACCTCCACCAAGTTTGTTCAAATAATAGCCCTGGTGTCAAAATTGACCATGCCCCAGGGTCATAGATTTTCATTATCAACATGCATGTATAGTAGAATCTCAAACGCTAGTGCTGACATATTTGGCATGGACTAGTATGGGCCTTTACAAAGATTATTCGAGTTATGACTCAAAATAAGGCCTCCCCGTGGGGGTTATGAATATTCCTCATTTTCTTTTAAGAAAAAATATACAAAAATGTTTTCGGAAACATGGAAATCTATAGCTTAGATATTTGACAAGGAACATTGTCTTGTGGGTCTGTCTCAAGGTAATTAAAATTAAAGACTGAGGGCCAAAATTGGTCCTGTCCCAGGACTCAGTGACCTAGTTTTTAATATCTAATGTACAGCTAAGAAGTTTTGACCATGTGCACAATATCTGATGTAGAATTGAACTTCGATATGATCTGGCCTAGATTTTGACCAAGTGACCTTCTTTTTAGTCCATTGATATACAGCTACGAAATTAAGACGATGTGTACAGTTTTATAAGTAAAATTGATCTTTAATATTTGTTGACTTAGTGATCTACTTTCTTGCTTTTTATGTACATCTATGAAATTAGGATCATGTATATGTTTGTTTGTTTGTCACACCGACACAGTATAGGTCATTTGGCGACGTTCCAACTTAACTAGTGGAGGAAGACCTCAGGTGCCCTTCAATGTATTATTTCAGGCACGAACGGGCACCTGAGTAGAACCACCGACGTTCCGTAAGTTAGCTGGATAGCTTCCTCACATGAAAGAATACAAAGTCCCTGTAATGATTCGAACCTACAGCGGTGAGGGGCGAGTGGTTTGAAGTCAACGACTTTAACCATTCGGCCACGGGCGCCCCAGGATCATGTATATAGAAAAGATCAAAAATCATATATTCCATGAAGTATAATCTATTGACCAACATCGTTATAAGTTTTTAAATAAACACTAGCTTTCGATGCTTTGACACAAATAACAGTCTGTCTTCGTGATGCGCTTGTCTTTATAATATTCCCTCAATAATAAAAGTATTTTGTCTGTCCGTGTCTTTGTCTGTCCGTCATTGGCTTTTTATGGTTCATTTATTTTTTGTTACAGTTAGTTAATTTTATTTTTAAAGTTTGTCCGGACTACACCTCTTATACCTCTAATGCAATTTCAATGACACTTAACAATATTGATTGGCTGGTCAATTACACGGATGTTCTGTTTCAGTGATTTTGTCCGAGTTATGGCCTTATTATAAAAAAGGGTGTTCATATAATTTGTCCGGACTACTCCTCTTATACCGGTAATGCAATTTACGTTAACAAATTTCAAATTCTATATTGCGAATCATTATAAAGAACTCATCTCATTTAATATAGATTTCTACACTATAGAACGATTGCATCGATTAAACATTTTTCTCGCCATTTATGTGATAAGTTCCGTAAACATTGCCTTCTACATGTAGTTGATATTTCGTCGTACAGTAAAAAATCCCTCGGAAGCATTAATCATATATACATAAGTTACATATGCGTGTTCTTTAAAGTGACATTATGTCCATCCAAGGGTATATATTGAGTGAAAAGGTGAAAGTTTACAATTTCACATAATTCCCTTCTATTCTATAATTTACTTTGCATGAACGATATAAAACTCACAATGGCCAAGGTATTTTCTATAAATAGCCATCGAAGTTGTATCTGTTACGTTCAAATTATAAAAAAAAATGCGCAGTCTTTTTATATTTTAGGCAGATCTATATTTTATCCTTATCAATTTCAACTGTTGGTCATTCTTCATTTTAATGATCAATCTTTTGAAATATAAAGTCAATACAGCTCCGTTTGACAATGAAAGTATGATGTCACTTTAAATAATTTAAAGTACTAGATTTTATGTTCTTATTTAGCAACAATCTTTTACTTTTTTATTTTCGCTTTCACTTCTAATATTTTATGTTAATAGTTTAAAATTTCTAAATCAATAACTATAATTTAATTTATTTAAGAATGTAAAGAAAAGATGTTATTAAAGATATATCTTTAAAAACATCTTTGAAAAATAATCATGTAAAAGAGTAAAAATCTATGTAATATTTCAGACGCAGACCTGAAAGATCAAGGTCAGATATGAGTTACATGAATTTGAGGTATGACCAAGAAGGAAAAATATACAACAAAAGATATCAAGATTATTCATCTTTAAATCATGGGTGAATATTGTTTACTTCCTCTGGTAACGTTATCTCTTAAGTAAAATGAATATTCATTGAGAAAAATATACATCCGTTCAATAATACAAACCTTCAGATGTATTCACTATAGACTTGAAATACATGTACTTGATTAATTACACCAAAACTCTGCATAATAATTCACCATTTCCTACTTTAATCATGCTTTATTGTATGCTGTTCAGTGATTTACTGATTATCTTTGAAAATTATACGAGTATTTGATAATTCCAGAGTGAAAATTATCAAAATATAATTTCACACTTTTCAATGACGAAACTACATTTTTAAGATTTACGCCATGTCGTACCTCAATTTTATTTTTGCTGTAAATTTTGACAGTGTCAGACTGTTAAGAGAAAAGCAAAGCTGAAATTGATAAATAACTTAAATGTCTCCAGTAATAAAAAGAAAAGAAAACTTATTTCTATTCGTTCAAATTACCAATCACCAAATATCGTCTCTTATTTTTCTGTATTTTTTTGTTGTTGTTTGTTTTTTGTTGTTGTTTTTTTTGTTTTGTTTCATTTTTACAGTCTGAACGATACATTCCTTCCACATGCAAAACTACTCTTGATGACATTTTGGCATATATAAGTATCATACGAGCAATAACTGCCGTAAGCTTTATGAAAACTTGAAAAGCAACGGCAGCCATCAGTCAGAAGAATAAGTAACAATCCAGCGTTCCTAAGGCAGCCTTTCAACAATTCCAAGTTTTCCCATTTCCCAGCCGCTTTTTAAATGTTTACACATTTGTTTACACTTATTAATTGTCTGTTACAATCCTCAAATAAGTTTTCTGTCTTTTGAAAAGGTGTATGAGTTACAAATGCAAATGACATCCCTCTGAATCAAACACAATTATTTGCCTCCCTTGAAATACACAACTTTTAAAAATGGCGACCGTTTAAATTTAACAGAGCCAGGACAGATATAAATTCGCAGTACGTAACAGAAATATGGATGGATGGTTGGACTTTTTCTCCTACTAGAATTGTTTGTTTGTATTATTAAAACAAACGATCATTCATAATTTTTTTAATAAAATGAACAATATCAACGCCATTTAACGTTGATTGTCGAATTCATTTTACAGCCCAAAACTTCTTGTATTTAATGAGAAATTCGACTAAATGAGGGTACAAATTTGGTTATTTAAGTTAATATTAAGGACATTTCGTTTAACTTATTTTTAAGCATAAAATGAAAAGAAAATGTGAACTTTAAAAACAGTATTTTCACTCGTGGCTACGCCACTCGTGAGAATACTGATTTTAAAGCCCATTCGATGAAATAAAATTTCATCTCACACACAAACAAATATCATCTATATCCTGCACTGAGAAAAGAGGTATGCTTTAAATCATATGCGGTATGAACAGATAAATCTTTTTTCCTTTTTTTTAAACTTCATGTACTATTTTGTAACTTTCATGATCATGATTCAAAATACTTCTAAAACAGTACAGAATGAAAATCAGATACGACATCATTTTCCAGTAGTTACTTCTAGTCTAATCACACCGATCCAAATAGAGCGTGACATTATTTCAAGGTTAAACACAATTAATCCTGTTCAGTATATATATACCAAAAAGGCTATGAATGTCCCGTGCCGACCTATCCTAGGCCACTCAAACAGTTATCAGACTGGTACAAAAACGTAATACTGTATACCGTAAGAGTAAGCAGAGTTCAAATCGCCGCAGTTGTTACCAACTGGAACGCCTTAGGTCATTTGTTCAGAGAAAAAAACAGTCTTTCTAATTGTCATACATCATTTTTAGCACGTCTCCAAACCTTGTCGAAATAAAACGTTGAATACTTTTGTCAAGCACAATAAATAAGAAAACATCGTCACAGCCCACTCAAATGTGGTAGTATAATCAATACAGATTTTGTTGCTAGGGTAAATATTTTAACATTTTAAAAGGTCGGTCCACTTCATGGTTTCCTGATAAAAACTAGAATTTGGAATGAGTTATTGTAATCAAACTTGGTATATAAAGCAACCTTGAGTGAGAATCCAAGTTGTCAAAGTCAATTATACTTGGGCTAAAAAAAAGAAATTGATTTCCAGACAATAACTTGATAAAGGATTGAGATATTGAAATCAAGCTTGGTACATGAATATAGCATCCTAATGGGTGGTACTTAAGGGTTTACCCTCCGTTCGTCTGTTTATCCGTCCGTCCGTCTCACTAACCTGGAGAAAGTACATACGAGTGTTGTAGATATTCGTGACTTGGTAGCCATTTATGCATGACATCAAAACCTTGTGAGCTATTTCAGCACAATAACTGGCAACCTGTATCATCCTCAACAATCCAAATACAAATGATGATAAAGCATCTTTTTCTTAGTGCTTATAAGTCAATGTCACAATGACCATCAATCATAGAAATGAAAACAGACAACGATAGTGTATGGCATGATAATTTCATATGTGTATAGAAGGTATCAATACAAATCAATATTTGCAAAAAAATACACGTAATGGGTATAATTTTGGAAAAAACTTTGCGGGTTTCACCTTTAAATATCATAACATTTGCTTATATTGTTTGGCAATATTGACCCGAGACTCAATAATTTTTGGAAGCTTTTTCGTAATTTTCCGTAATGTAATACGGTTAATTAATTGATTTTTTAATGTTGGAGAGTTCCCGATACTTTATTTTATACTTACGTTCCGATGGGTTAGTGATAAGTATGATAACATAGCAATATCGAAGTTGCAAATTCAAGTCCTCAAGGAACATCATTTTATAAATTATATGCAGCATTTGTGGATGAATCATTTCTGAAAATTCTCGTGTCTTTTCTTTAAAGAATCATAGCTTTGATATATAGATTTTTATGTAAATTTTAATAATTTAAATTTGAAGAGTCGTACAATGGGTGATTGGCAAGTACAATAACTTAGTAGCAGACAAGTTTCGCAATAAATAATTGAAAAACAAAACAAAGAACATACACATAAAAGTTCATGTTTCAATCAGATTTGAACATACAACCTTCACATTTAAACAAGGAGTCCCAACTCCTCATCGCCGAGGCTAGTTAGGCAAGTGTTATTTCGCAATATTTTAGTTATAAATAAACCATGTATACCGTTATGCCATACATAAAATTTAAAATCCGGGAGCTGGCAATTACCGACAAAAGGTCATTGAATATTCAAATGTCTCAGGTCAATATTGCCAAAAAATACTTTAACATCAACAATAAGTCGACTTCACATCAAATTATTTGTATGTATAAAAATTTATTACTCAAATCAGAGCATCTGGTGGTGTAAATTATGAAGATATGGGTTGGAGCCCCAGCAGCAATCATTTGTAAGTATATCGTTATCAAGTCGCATGAACTTTTATGCTTTTGATGGTGTATTTTGCAAAATAACATTTTTAAAACAACAATATAATATACAGTAGAAACCCTAAATTAAGACCACCATTGGGACTGGGCCAACGTGGTCTTAATTGCAGGGTGGTCTTAATTGTGAATATTCTTATCGATGCTTACACACTTCTTGACCATGGTCTATTCTATTCATTTTGTATGAACAAACAATACATATATACCTGTAAATGCAACAAAAAACTATGTTATAAATTATCATCTGATGGAAAGAAGGTTATATCAAATTGTATTTTGTCTGATTTCAATATCATATATCTATTATTACATGATGTACATAATTCAACCCTCAAATAAAAAAAATTCTTCGCATAATCAATGTGCTTAAAGCAAGATTAAACCACTATAAAATTTACTTTTTCACCTTATTTCATACAATTTCCCAATGATATAAGTTTTTTTTGACACCTTGTCAAATTAGTTGTCATGCCTTAGAGCACTCAAGCTGATAATAACAGCAAATCTAAGATCTAGGTAGGTAGGTGTTAACTTTAAATCAGTGGTCTCAATACTGGGGTCAAATAAAGGACAAAACAAAGAATTGGAACTGAATATTGTGGTCTTAAAAGTGGAAAAGCGAGATGGTCTTAATTCTGGATCATGAAACCATCAACATAAAGAACAGAAAATTCCGTACTTTTAAAAAATGGTCTCAAAAGCGAGGTGGTCTTAACTCCGGGGTGGTCTTAAGTAGGGATTCTACTGTATGCGACAACAACTATGGACGTTTTACTATTATATAAAGGTACTAAATTTATGAAATATTTTTTTTTTTTTAAATGGTTAACTGTAATGTTTGGGTAGCCATATCACGCTAATACTTCTGTTAAATAGTTTCGATGAATCTAGCATTCCACTATTTAGCTCGCCTGAGCACGTTCTCACGGCGAGCAATTTTGACTCCCCTTTGTCCGTCGTTTGCGTCGTCATGTGTCAACATCTTTATGTTATATCTCCTATAAAACCAATGACTTAACATGAATATTCAAATAGTTCTGGTCTATTGCATAAGGTCATCTGGCCACAAAGGAAATTTCAAAAGTTTTAAGAATCTTCTTGCATATAAGTTCAAGGCTAAGAGCATTGCTATGTGGAATATGATATTATATAGGTATCCTCTACTGAAATTAGTCATGACAACTTTTGCCCATATTTTGATAATTGGCCAAATCCCGGGGGATCATAATTATGTAGTTGTTTTTTCTAAAATATATATAAAAAACTTTTTCCCTTGAAATGACAAAGGGGAGACTTTAAATAGATTTGGCCTAGAACATTGTGTAGTGAACCTCCACCAAGTTTGTTCAAATAAAAGCCCTGGTGTCAAAATTAACCATGCCCAAGGGTCATAGATTTTCATTATGTACATGCATGTATAGTAGAATCTTAAACGCTAGTGCTTACATATTTGGCATGGACTAGCATGGGTCTTTACAAGGATTGTTCAAGTTATGACCCAAAGAGTCATATTATAGATTTTTGTCGCTGTATGAAGCAGACGTGTTATTTTGTGCTATTGAATTATATTTAATTGCTAGTTCATTTCTATTTGGATTTGACTGAAAGTGTGCATATGTGATAATGAATGCGGTGTGCAGCATCTTTGTTTGTGATTATTTATTGGCTGTGTCATTGATTGAATGGGCTACTCCTACTTCAACTGAATATTTTGGACAATTTTTACATCATAATGGAGTAGACATTTTACAAACCAAAAATATTTCAACAAACAAATTTGCCTACGGCCGTGATCAATTATTGAACATTGGATTAAATGTCACAAACCACTGGAGATATTATAAGCCTGATCAATCTGTGTTCTATACAATAAATAAATTGGATATAGCCCCCGGCTGGAAAAAAAGGAAAAGAAAGAGGGGTGGACAATCAAAATCTCTAACAAAGCAAAATGGGATTAACTCTCATAATCTCATATATCCAAAGAAATGTAATACACTGAATAACAGATTCAATGAAAATGTATCTTTCATAACTGTTAATTGTCATTCAGTTCGAAACAAGGATGTTCGTGTTGGTCAGATACTACGAGAACAGAAACTTGATTTTGCCCTCCTCACTGAAACTTGGTATTCGGACGAAATCAGCATGAATATGAAACTAGTGACCTTAATCAAAACGGTTATAAAATTAGTGTAGCCAATCGAAAGAACCGAATCGGCGCTGGGATTGCTTTGACCTGTCGCACCGTTGTGAATATGAGGAAATTGAAATCTGGAGTGACAAATTGTTTCGAATTTGGTATTTGGCAACTGGTATTCAAAAACATTACAATGCATGAAATTGGCATTTATAGACCACCATCCATGTCAACAAATTCACAATTTATTTCTGACCTTTCCAATTGATGGAAAGGATTATGCCTCAATATTCCAATCTTCTAACACTGGGTGACTTTAACTTACATCTGAATGAAGAAAATGGCGTGATATCAGAATTTAAAGACTCATTATTCGCTATGGGTTTGGTGCAGCATTTTAACTTTGGCACACAAGTTTTTGGCAATACTCTTGACGTTGTTATTACGGAAGCAGTCAATGGGGTTGAAATTGTGGCATGTGAACCTGGTGATTATGTGTCTGATCATCGAGCAATAAAATGTGTTACAAATGTTCAAAAAGAAAACATAATTAGTAAGTCAGTCAAATTTAGAAACTTTAAAAACATGGACGAGTCATCTGTTAGAAAAGAGTTCAGTGAAATTACAATAGATCAGAGTGATATTAATCTAAACGTGAATGAGTTTGAAAATAAAATAAAGAACGTTCTGGACACTCATGCACCTGAAAAAGAGATAACAAAAGTAAATAGAGCTCCTAAACCATGGTTCACTCCCGAAATTCTCACCCTTAAAACATCGACTCGGAAAGCTGAAAAAATATGGAGAAAATATCGTCAACCACAACAATATGAATTATTCAAAAAGTCTCGGAACCAGTACAATGATGAACTCGAAAAAGAGATAACAAAAGTAATAAGTGAAAAAGTAACTAATACAAAGGGTGATTCCAAGAAGCTGTACCAGTTAATGTCTGAGTTAACAGGAACTAAATCAGAAATCCCAATTCCACCTGGGTACAGTGATAGTGAGCTCTCCGAACACTTTGTCTCATTTTTCATGAATAAAATAGAGAAAATACGTGATGACCTGAAACCATTTGATAAATTCGAGCCAAATACTAGAAACGTTCCATCTCTTCTTACCTTTTATGAATTTTCAAATGATAATGTTAAATAGCTGATAAATGAACTACAGACAAAATCTTGTGAATTGGACATATTACCGACAGCAATATTAAAACTATTCCTTGGAGAACTACTCCCAATTATAACAAAACTGGTAAACTTATCACTACAGCAAGGAATATTTCCAAATAAATAGAAAGAGGCTATTGGAGACCACCTTTGAAGAAAATTGGTCTTGAACTTGTATTCTCAAATTATAGACATGTTAGTAATCTATCGTTTTTATCAAAACTGATTGAAAAAGCAGCTCTGAAAATACTAAATAAACATGCTGATCAGTATGATTTACTACCTACAAACCAATCCGCCTACAGAAAATACCACTCCTGTGAATCTGCGCTACTGCGATTAGTTAATGATCTGTTGGCAGCCATGGAAAAACAAGAAGTTACAGCGCTAATAGCGATTGATTTCAGTGCCGCGTTCGACACTGTGGATCATGCTATACTCGTCGACGTGGTACAGAAGCAGTACGGCGTGAGCGGTTCAGTGCTCAGCTGGCTTGATTCATACCTTCGTCCAAGGGGCTGTCGCGTGTGTGTGTCAACTCGGCGGTCTCAGCTTCACGGCAACTAGAGTGCAGTGTCCCCCAGCTTAGTTGTTTAGGGCCTTGGCTCAACCTAACGTATGCGGGAACCTTGTTTGACGTGATTCCATCTGGATTATCGGTGTATGGATTCGCTGATGACCATACTGCAACCAAACGTTTTAAACCGACTGAAGAAAATAGTGAAATTTCTGCAATCGCTGAATTAGAAAATGGTGCGATTGATATCAACAACTGGATGAACGCTAATAAACTCAAGATGAACTCATCGAAAACAGAATTCATAACATTTGGAAGTTCTCAACAGCTCGAAAAGTGTCACCTAAAATCCATTTGTATAAACGGAGATAAGATCAACTCCGAATAGTCCATTAGATATTTAGGCGCATTTCTAGACCAAACACTAAATTTCAAGGAACTTTTCAAACGAAAGTGACGTACTGCAATGTTAAACTATCTTAGAATAAAACGTATCCGAAAATACCTCACCAAAGAAGCAGCTGAAATACTAGTAATAGCACTCGTAATGTCACACTTGGATTGTTGCAATGTCATTCTTAATGATGTACTCGATTTTGAATTGAAAAAAATGCAACGTATTCAAAACATGTGCGCTAAGTTAGTTCTACAACGAAAGAAATTTGACAGTTCAAGGCAAGCATTGTTCGACCTTCACTGGCTGCCCATCGAATCTAGAATCGAATATAAAATTCTGACTTTTGTATACAATTGTACAATCGGTCATGCTCCAAAATACCTTTCTGAACTCCTAACCAAACAAGTACCAAATACCCGTCTACGTTCAGCTAAAACCTCTGTGAACTGTTACGTTATTCCATTCAATAAAAGAAGAACATTTAGTGACAGAAGTTTCTGAACTTTTGGTCCAAAATTGTGAAATCCGCTGCCATTAGAGTTGAAACAATCTAAAAATATTAATGTTTTTAAGAGAAATCTTAAAACACATTTTTTCAGAAAGTTTGAATCACTATTTTAAAATCTGAAATTAGATAAACATGAGTAACGTATAACTGATGACTGACAGTGTGATGAATGTGCCATGTAAATGAATGTTTTATTCTTTTTAATCTATTTGTAATCAAGTTACATGTATGTAAATAATCTTATCTCATGCTAAATGTATATCAGTTTTATCATTTTAAGGTCTCTAAATTTTTTTTAAAATATGTTAATTGAAATTGTATGTTAAAGCTTTTATTTCATTTAATGTTGACTCTTATTATATTATATGTACTGCACAACGCCGTTGAATATTGTTAAATAGAAACAGGCGTTTAATTAAATAAAAAGTTTCAAGTTTCAAGTTTCAAAGAGTCAAAATAAGGCCTGTCTGGTGGTATAAATATTCTTCATATTCATTTAGGAAAAAATAAACAAAAATGTTTTCGGAAACATAGAACTCTATAGCTTAGATATTTGACAAGGAACATTGTCTTGTGGGTCTGTCTCAAGGTAATTAAAATTAAAGCCTGAGGGCCAAAATTGGTCCTGTTTCAGGAGACTCAGTGACCTACTTTTTAATATTTAATGTACAGCTATGAAGTTAAGACCATGTGCACAATATCAGATGTAGAATTTAACTTCGATATGATCTGGCCTAGCTTTTGACCAAGTGACCTTCTTTTTAGTCCATTGATATACAGCTACGAAATTAAGACGATGTGTACAGTTTTATATGTAAAATTGATCTTCGATATTCGTTGACCTAATGGTCTACTTTCTTGCTTTTTATTTAGAGATATGAATAATGATCATGTATAAAGTAAAGATCAAAAATTATATTTTCCATGAAGTGTGATCTATTGACCGACATCGTTATAATTTTTTAAATAAACACTAGCTTTCAATGCTTTGACTGACACAAATAACAGTATGACTTCATGATGCGCTTGTTTTAATAACATTCCCTCTATAATTAAAGTAGTTTGTCTGTCCCTGTCTATGTCTGTCCGTCATTGGCTTTTTATGGTTCAATTATTTTTGTTGCAGTTTATTATTTTAATTTTGAAAGATTGTCCGGACTACTCCTCTTATACCTCTAATGCAATTTCAATGACACTTTACAGGATTGATTGGTAGGTCAATTACACGGATGTTCTGTTTGAATGATTTTTGTCCGAGTTATGGCCCTATAATGAAAAGGGGTGTTCATAAAATTTGTCTGGACTACTCCTCTTATACCGGTAATGCAATTAACGTTTAAATATTTCAAATTCTATGTTATTCTATTTAAATTCTATCTATAAATTATTATAAACAACTTATCTCATTTAAAATAGATTTCTACACTATAGAACGATTGCATCAATTAAACATCTTTTTCTCGCCATTTATGGAATAAGTTCCGTAAACATTGCCTCCTCTATGTAGTTGATCTTTCGTCGTACAGTAAGTTACATATGCGTGTTCTTTAAAGTGACATTATGTCCATCCATGGGTATATATTGAATGAAAGGTGACAAGTTTACAATTTCACATAAATCCTTTCTATTCTATAATTTACTTTGCATGGACGATATATAACCCACAAAGACCAAGGAATTTTCTATAACTATCCATCGAATATATCTGTGACGTTCAAATTATAAAAGAAAAATGCACAGTCTTTTTATATTTTAGGCAGATCTATATTCTATCCTCATCAATTTCAATCTCAATTGTTGGTCAATCTTCATTTTAATGGTCAATCTTTTGAAATATAAAGTCAATACAGCTCCATTTGACATTGAAAGTATGATGTCACTTTAAATTGTTTATAGTCCCAGATTTTATGTTCTTATTTAGCAACAATCTTTTACTTTTTATTTTCGCTTTCACTTCTAATATTTTATGTTAATAGTTTATAATTTCTAAATCAATAACTATAATTTAATTTATTCAAGAGTGTAAAGAAAAGATGTTATTTAATATAAGTTATATCTTTAAAATCATCTTTGAAAAATAATCATGTAAAAGTGAAAAAAATCTATGTAATATTTCAGACACAGACCTGAAAGATCAAGGTCAGATGTGAGTTACACGGATTTGAGGAATGACCAAAAAGGAAAAACATACAACCAAAGATTTCGAGATAATTCATCTTTAAATCATGGGTGAATATTGATTACTTCATCTCGTAACGTTATCTTTTAAGTAAAATGAATATTCATTGAGAAAAATATACATCCGTTCAATATTACAAACCTTCAGATGTATTCACTATAGACTTAGAATACTTGATTAATTACACCAAAACTCTGCATAATAATTCACCATTTCCTACTTTAATCATACTTTATTTTATGCTTTTCAGTGAGTTACTGATTTATCTGTAAAAATTAAACGAGTATTTGATAATTTCACAGTGTAAATTATCAAAATATAATTTCACACTTTTCAATAACGAAACAACATTTTTAAGATTTTCCCCATGTCGTACCTCAATTTTATTTTGCTGACAATTCTGACAGTGTTTAGAGAAAAGCAAAGCTGAAATTGATAAATAACTTAAATGTCAAAAGTAATAAAAAGAAGAAAAGTTACTTCTATTCATTAAAATTACCAATCACCAAATATCGCCACTTATTTTTTTTTCTTCACTTTTACTGTCTAAACAATTCATTCCTTCCACATGCAAAACTGCTCTTGATGTCATTTTGGCATATATAAGTATTCTACGAGCAATAAATGCCGTATGCTTTATGAAAACTTGAAAAGCAACGACAGCCATCAACCCGAAGAATAAGTAAACAATCCAGCGTTCCTAAGGCAGCCTTTCAACAATTCTAAAAATAGATAAATACAGAATCCCTAAAGAAAGCCCAACACGGCAAAATTGAAAATGTTGCAGGTTCGGTTTGATTGAGCATGTTCATGGTATGTACTGGAAAGTGCAAGTTACCGTCCACGCCCCTAGCACCGGCTTAAGCAGAATTCAACATTTAAACGTGAAATAGTAAATTTTTGAATTTAGAAACATCTGCAGATGTGTTCATACTGCGGTTATCATGGAACCTTCAATGTGACACTTCCGTGCCATTCCATGAAAAGCGGGGTATGGTCCCCAAGTAATAAAAGCGTGTTTCCTAAACGAGAAAACAATGGGCGGAACTAAATAAAATGGAATTTTGAAAGGGGATCAGAGGTTAAGAAGCCTGCATATCACAGACGTCAAAAGACAAATTTAAAAAGCAGGCAACATATCCTAAGGCTGATTCAACATTATTCAAGTAGGAATATTGGAACCACCCAACTAAGTTTTAGTTTAGTTTTAAGTTTTCAAATTTCTTAGCCGCTTTTTGAATGCTTACACATTTGTCAACACTTACTTCTGTGTCTGTTTCAATCCTAAATAAGTTTTTTTCTTTTAAAAAGGTGTATGACTAACAAATCCAAATGGCATCCCTCTGAATCAAACACAATTATTTGCCACTCTTGAAATACACAACCGATTACATAACAGAGCCATGTCTTATATAAATTCGCAGTAAGTAACAGAAAAATGGATGGATGTTTGAACTTTTTCTCCTACTAGAATTGTTTGTTTTTATTATTAAAATAAGCGATCATATATATTTTTTAATAAAATGAACAATACCACCGCCATTTAACGTTGATTGTCGAACTCAAAACTTCTTGTATTTAATGAGAAATTCGACTAAATGAAGCTCTCAATGGGGAAAACAGATTTTGATATTTAAGTTCATATTAAGGAAATTTCGTTTTAACTTATTCTTAAGCACAAAATGAAAAGAAAATGTGTTTGTTTGTTGTGTAAGATGTAATTTTATTTCATCTCGTGAACTCTGTCTACGCCACTCGTGAGAATACTGTTTTTAAAGCCCACTCGATGAAATAAAATTTCCTCTCACACACAAACAAATATCCATTATATCCTGCACTGAGAAAAGAGGCATGCTTTAAATCATATGCGGTATGAGTAGATAAATCGTTTTCCTTTTTTTAAACTTCATGTGACTATTTTGTAACTTTCATGATCATGATTCAAAATACTTCTAAAACAGTACAGAATGAAAATCAGATAAGACACCCTTTTCCAGTAGTTACTTCTAGTCTAATCACACCGATCCAAATAGAGCATAAAATTATTTAAAGGTTAAACACAATGAATCCAGTTCAGTATATACCAAGAAGGCTATGCATGTCCCGTGCCGACCTATCATTGGCCACTCAAACAATTATCAGACTGGTACATAAACGTAATACTGTCTACCGTAAGAGTAAGCAGAGTTCAAATCGCCGAAGTTGTTACCAACTGGAACGCCTTAAGTCATTTGTTCAGGAAAAAAAAACAGTCTTCGTAATGGTCATACATCATTTTTAGCACGACTCCAAACCTTGTCGAAATAAAATGTTGTATACCTTTGTCAAGCACAATGAAATAGAAAACATCGTCACAGCCCACTTAAATCTAGTCGTATAATCAAGACAGATTATGTTGCTGGGGTAAATATTCTCAATCACAAAGTAAAATCATTTTTCAGGTCCCTTCTTACGGATTTTTCATTTTATCCATATTGGGTTATCTCCCAATTGTTTACTTAAATTTTTTCATTTTTTAAAGGATTTACTTCAAACTTCAAACGCCCTCATCATAGAAATATGACAAGGTTGATAAATCTAGCGTCTATATTTCCAGAATTATGTCCTAAATATTTGAATTTTCCTCATTCATTCTTTAACTTTCTTATTTCTTCTTGAATAACTTCAATTTTCAAATATATCTCAACACCCACAACATATGTGATTAGATTTAAAAGTCTAGCGCTTGGGTTTCAATGATTATTTTCATTTTGAACTTCATTTAAAAATTAGTATATATCTTTTAATTTCTTTCGTTGTTATTATAAAAAGCATATTTGATTATTTTTATTTATTTTGTTTTTTTTGTTTTTTTTTTGTTGTTGTTTTGTTGTGTTTTTTCACTTTTCTTCTCTGTTAATGTTATCAACTTTAAACTTAAGATAATTGTTCTTTTTCGTAACATCATTTATGTCAATGGTCATAAGTCTAGCATCTTTATTTCTTCGGTTTAAAAAATATGATTTATATTCTGGTAACAACCAGGGATGTGTCTGTTACTCTGTCTGTCTGTCTGTCCGTCGCCCGTCTCTAAACACTGTGTTCTGAGAACACTTTTTTATAACTTATACCTTTTCAAATAAATTAACTTAAAAAAATACTTTTATTATCTGTTTTATAAGCATAATATTCTTACTATGCTTAGAAACTTAACACATTACTATTATACAGACAAATTAAGACCTCAAAAGATTTAAGTTCATTCATGTCTTCCACTCTGGTATAATTGAATAGCCAATGGCCCTTGAGAACGTTGCTGAGGTTCAAACCGGTAGGGGACTTGTGTATTGCTTGCAATACTACGATACATGTAATTGCTTGTTCATTTATGTCTTACAGAAGACTCATTAACAGACTGTTAGGTTTTTGAAATACCAAGTGAAAAAGTATTTTTAAGTTAAATATATATATTTCAGTGATGGAGTTTCCAGGTATGACCTTTATGAGGACAAAACTAAGGTTTGTAATGAATACACTTTATTTTGTTTCCTTCAAATTCGAGTACTGTATGTATGTGAAAAAATAATAAAGAAAATCATAGCTTTTTGGCCAAAGGCAAATATTAATTTTACAAATACAATATTTTTATTCCTGATTCAAAACATTAGACTTTAAAACTATTATACACTAAAAGGACTTTATGCCCCCACCTCTAACATGGGAGTGGGGCAGCGTTCTTCCCGTCTTTGTAAGATGAATGTCATAATATGATTTTTTAAGTGCACTGACGGTCATGTCCTGCAACGAACCTGTCATTTATAAATGGTTTTTAAAACCTTTTGCCATGACTTCAAACACGTCTTCGAATTTTTTTTCTGTTCTTGATTTGTTTCATTAAGACTCCCTTCTAAGCTTTATGTTCTCGCTTAAAGTTTGAAAAATCACATATATATGCTCTAACCTTTCATCAAATGCATCTAAATAGTTAAAGCTTGTTAAAAACAATTTCTTTAAAGGTGGCTAATTTGGTCATTTTGTTATGCCTAGCCATACACTGTAGATTTATATTTCAGCGTAGTGTATTTTCGTTTCTTACACTGTCCGGAATAAGTTCAGCTTGCAAAGATAAACCTTTATGATCATTCTATATATTGATTACTTCATCATATATTGAAAACATAAAACATCAATTCTGTACATACAAACAATTTATCTTATTAGAAATTGCAATATTACTGCTTATGTTATATTCTAAGACTAAACTTAATAAATTTAAATATGTAAATCTTTTTTTCGATTTCTTTTTTCTTCAGAAAAAGTGCGTAGTCATGTAGTCGTTGGTAATATTTTCATCTATATTTAAAAGACGACTAGTGAAAAGTCAAAACAAGTACAAGAGGAATAACGTTTCGTCAAAATATTTACAAAAACATTATTTGCTCAACTGTTACTGCTTAAGCTGTGTATGAACTTTTGGAGTGTTTTCAAATATAAAAATATTGTATGTATAGTACAGTGTTTAACATTTATGACAGATATTCATATTAACAGTAGATTTTTATATTGTATAGTTAGGAAATCATGTAAAATAACGCACGGTTCGAGTTAAAATATGCAGGAACAAAATAACGAAGGTCTCATAGGCTTGGATGATTAATAAAAAAGTATTTGAATGATAAACCGTGCATTAAAACGCAAGAAAAAATAATACTATATCCATTCTAGCTTATTAAAAGAGATTTGATGAAAGAAATGCTTAATTACATAAAGCGTAAGAGTATTTTTCTTGACGTCACTTGGTTTATTAACTTCATGCCTGACGTCATACGACATGTAAGCATTCAGTTTATTTCGCCCTGCGTAAATCGTATTATATTGCACTTGACATTAATTTCTATCTTTTTAAATTCTGCCGCGTGTTAGAATGAAAATAATATCATTTGATAAAGTATAGCATGAGGTTTACATGTGGAACAGAAGAATAAAAATACATGGGAATTTTTTTGCCCCCACTATAGGGTGTGGGGCATTACGATGTACCCTTGTCCGTTCGGCCATCCCTTCCCATGTTGTGTTGCACGTAGCTCAGTAAGTATTTGACCTACACTTATAAAAAGTTACAGGAAAATTAATCAACATATGTGTTTTCGTTGGGATTTCTTCAGTATTCGTAGAGTTATTATCCTTGACTTGGAAAAATATGTAGTTTCCAACTTGTGTCGCATGTAGCTAAAACGTTATTTGACTTAGAGTGATAAAACTTTACAGGAATGTTGTTCAGCATGTGCTGTTGTGTACCTTTGGTTTCGTTTGTAGGTTAATTCTGATTGTCAGTCTAGAGAGTTTTTGCCCTTGACTTAGTTAACTTTTCCGATTTTCAATTTATGTCGTACGTAGCTCAAAAAGTCAGTAAACTAAATAGGAATGTCGATTAGCATGTGTAGTTATGCACCTGGAGTTTCACTTGTTGATTTATCTAGTTTTTTCTAGAGTTTTTACCCTTCAATTAGTAAACATTTGCAACTTTCAACTTTGGTCGTGTGTAGCTCAAAAGTATTTGACTTTAGGTCATGACACTGTACAGAATTGTTGATTGACAGTAGTTGTGTCTTGTGTAGTTGTTTACCTTGTAGTTTGATTGGGGGTTTATTCAGCATTTGAAGAGTAATTGCCCTTGAATTAGTAAAACCCGTTCCATTATGTTGTGCTACTTGTATGTGTTCCTTGAGTGCTAGAGTTAGAATCAACAAACTTAACACGAATAATGATAAACATCACCGTGAAGCTGTTCGCCTGGAGTTTTGCATGTAAATCTTTTCAAGTTTTTTAGAGTTGCCCTTGACTTAGTATAAATTTGCAGTTTTCAACTTGTTTACCTATAACTCAAAAAGCATTTGACCTGTATGCCTGAAAGTTTACAAGAATGTTTGTCAGCATGTGTACTTATGTACCTTAGGGTTTGCGTGTGGATCTATTCAGTATGTGTAAGGTTCTTGCCCTTGACTAAATAAAAGAATTTTTCTTTTCAATTTGTGTCACGTGTAACCAAAACAATATTTGAGTCATAGGATTGTCAAAACAGTGAAATGTGGGCCTGTTATATCTACTAAAATATATTATTCTTCGACTTCTCTTTTTAAATATTTTAACATGTTTGTTTGTTTGTTTGTAAGGGTTTTACGTCACACCGACACAGTATAGGTCATTTGGCGACGTTCCAGCTTTTCTGGTGGAGGAAGACTTCAGGTGCCCTTCCGTGCATTATTTCAGTCACGAACAGGCACATAAGTAGAACCACCGACGTTCCTTAAGCTAGCTGGATAGCTTCCTCACATGAAATAATCCAAAGTCCCTGTCGGGATTCGAACCCACAGTTAAAAACGCATCATTTTATTATACCTTTACATAATGTCTGTAGTAATCAGGTTAATTTTAAATAGTTTGCATGTGTTGACAAAATTGATATGTGAACCTTGTCGAATAAATTATGTTGATATATTTCTCGTTATAAGAGTTCATTTTGTAAATGTTAAAAATAGATTTGGAATGTTTAGATGAAGTAATGATGTTGATATCTATAAGATATAGATATAAGTTCTCGCTGTCATATTAATTGTTGTTGTTGTTTTTTGTTGTTGTTTTTTTGTTGTTGTTGTTTTTGTTTTTTTTTTTTTTTTTTTTTTTTTTTTTGTTAATTTTTAGATATTCCTCGCTACTTTGTTAAATTTTCCGTTTTCTGGTGTATTTTTACGTGATTCATAATAACGTCATTATAATTAAATATGTTATTGTAGCGCATTTTCGTCGAGCGATTAATCTTTATATATTGACTTTTACCTTCGACTATATATATGAGATATACCTATATCTCAGGGTATGGAGATACTTTAAGCATTTTTAGTTACTTAGCTGATATTTTGTTTATTATTATCCTAATAATTTGTTAAAATTAGTAAGCCAAAAAGCGTAAGGAAAATTATATATATGGCACTATCACTTCAGTTAAACGTTTATTTTAATGCCTGAAAGCTCGGTGACATGTTGTACATAAGAAAAGCTATTTTTTATTTAAAACATTTGAAAACAGTGTGATGTTGTTTAAACAAAATCAAAATACACAAAAACAAGTCTAACAGTTTCCCCATTGCTGAATAGGCGAATGCATATCTACTAGATGCCGCGTGCACGAGGCGTCCAATGATACTTTTATTTGCTATTACATATATAATAGTGTAGGAAATTAACCAATTAATCATAAATATTTAAGGGGTCACCTAGTCTATGTCTAGGAGCAGTAAGTTTTATATACTTAAATGTTCACAAGGGTTCGCAGGATACGAAACGGTATTAAGTTTTAACCCAAATGTTCGGAAAATCACAAAATCCAAGATGGCTGCCAAAATTTCGCAAAAATAGTAATTATCATTATTTGGCTAACTTTTTTCAAGAATTTCTAAGTCACTTTTGTCATCACATATAAATATGATAGAAAAAACATGTCCACTGTAAATAAATGGGTTTTTGGTCACTTTTATGGGAGAAATATAAAGTATTTGAAAGAATGTCATGAAAATGTATAAAAAATATGACTTAAAAATTAAATTTGATTTAAATTTTCATTTCCATGACAACACATTTCAATGCTTATTTCCATTTTTTATTTATATATTTTTTTTATTTTTTTATTTTTTTTTGCAAAAATATAACTTCTTCCATTGGGTCAATTTTAATTTTTATCGACACTTCTCTTATGGACATATTATGATTTTAAACCGGAGGGGTATAATAAAATTCAGCTAAAATTTACATCTCTAAAATTACGTCAATGTCTTATGATTGATTCTCCACTTTATTGTGGTTTTTTATTTGTTTGGGTCGTCAGACCAAACAAATAATGGTAGCGAAATTTCAGACTCTAATGCTGTTAATTGCAAGTACCAAAAGTAGTCCGCTTTTTTAAGCGGTTGCTTCCCTTTATATGTAAACTAACGCCGAAAAATTCAGGGGAGATCACTGCGTAAAGATGGTCAAATGATAGGCGCATTAATTTTCAAGCAAAATAATTCCCGAATGGTCGAAGATTTCTAATATTGTTTTATTCTTTATAGATATATATGCTTCTATTAAGCTCCATGATTATTTGCATCTGTGTTAAACAACAGTTAGCGTCGTTACAAACCCTAATATAGAATAATATAGTTTTCTTCAGGTTTTCTTCAAATAACTTCACTGTGGCCCAGGGGTTTGCGCGCTCGCTTAGGAAGCGAGAGGTCTGAAGTTCAAATCCCAATTAAGGCAACTCATTTTTTTTCTAATTGTTTAAGTCAAATAAACATTGGATTGAATATCAGTGTTTAAATTAGTCTTATAGTCAATTTACTACAATTAAAATGCTGGAAAGCATTGGTGGCACTTTACAAAAACAAACTAGTTTATAATCTCACAACCTTCACCTTTCTGACATTCTGAGACCCAAACAAATTCAGCGCCTTCTGTGCTTTGATTTTCGACGTTGTAGACCTACTTGTTTTCTCTGAAATAAATACAAAAGAAAGTATGATGTTAGAAAATACATTGAAATTTCCATCAATTTTCATGGGTGCCATGGTGACATGCTATAAAGATATAAATCTTTCCTTAGAAACAAAATCAATCAAGATATTTTTGCAACTTTACAAAATATGTATAAATCATAATCACAATATTTTTCAAATGACTTTCCTGCATCCACTCTCAGAGTGTATTTAATTATACAATGTTCTTTAAGAGAATTTAGACTAAGAACTTAAGATTTTATTCTTGTATATTCAGAATTCACTGTTCCAGTTTTTTTATGTTTTGGGCAGGTCAGTCAAAATGTTTGTAAGGGTTCACTGAATACAACATATATATTGTAACTGTTTTTATATCAATAGTGTTTATATTGTGTAGATATCCAACATTAATGGACACATATATTCAAATTACCACTCTCATCTTTAAGCAAAACAAGTATATTTATGAATTCAAATATAGAAGCAAATTATGTAATAATTACATTAATGTTAATATCTTTTTTCAGCATTTTTTACCAATATTTCTGAAAAGTTTGGTACAATTCTGATACAGAAATTCTTAACTGTCTTCGCTTAGAGTGCTTTTATATAAGAAACCTTGACACACTATTTAACTGTGAAGTAATATTTTAAACTTTTTTAAATTGAAAAGGAATAAGAGTTGTGATCTTAACAACAACATAATTTTATTGATGCTTAAGAGTTTATTTCATCATATTTGTGTATTATTTTTAACAAAAAATTTGATACAGGATATACCAAAATGATGCAAAGGGAAATTTTAACCATGCGAAACATACACCCCCTCTCCATATAGAAGAATAACCATTGTAAAAGTACATACAAAAATATTTTTAATTGTTGTTACAAAATAGGATTTACAAATGGTGCGACTCTCAGTTCGGGTTACGCGAGGACCACTTTACTAAGTATGCAATCTTTATTACTCACTCAATGATACAAAAAAGTTTTGTCTATCACTTCTTAACTCTGGTGTATTTATTAATTATAAAAAAAGGTTTGATATCATTATTGGAAACAAGAACGTAATTCAGCAATTTGCTTTAAAATTAATTCCATAATTCAAACAATTTTAGTACAAGTAAATGTAGAAATGTGTCTAATCTAATCCAAATATGCCAATTTCTGCTATTTTTTATGTCACCACTGGCAAAATGCGAGGGGAGTAACATCCCTTTCTCCTTTTTTGTTCATTTTATTTTTAAATGATATCACTTATAATGTAGATCTTAACAGTATGAATGAAAATGACCTTATTATGCATCCAATGTACCTCATTTTGTTTGCAGACGAAATTGTATTTTTTATCATTCAGTTTACAGACACAAGTTAAATCAAAATGACATTTTTATTATGTTACAGCCCTACCACCACTAAACGGTTGTTCTTTCACATTTGGTGGGTTTTTTTTAATGAGAGCCATCAACGCTTCCGTTGTAGAGATTCACACATTTTCTAAACATATCCGACTTAAAAGATGCTTCTTTTTCAAAAATCAAAGACTGCTATACCATGCAGAACATTTTTCTCATCATTTTGGATGCAATATCGATGCAAAAAAAACCAACAAAATGACGTTGCTAGAATTTTTTCAAATATCATTTTGCATGTTTTTCCTTTACAAAGGGACACGTCTTGAGTGTTTTCTCTACAAATAAGGAAATGTTGACCATCTTAACCATCCATGTAACATTGATCCTACATCGCCTTTGGCTCAACACAAATAATAGTTCACAGAGCTTTGCTTAAAATAAAATATTAACATTTATTCAAATGTGATCAAGCCATCGACACGGTGCTGGCACCATTTGCAATGAGAAAGAGCCCTCGAGAATGTGAGTAAGCCAACACAATCATTCAAGCATTGATAAAATTGTGGAAAATTGGCCATTAATATTCATTAATAGACAAAGTTGCATTAGTTGATATCAATTACTTTCATCATGTTCATGAAATGTTTTAGTGTGGTGTATAGCAATAAGTAAATTTTGCCAAAGCAATTCAACACGATGTTAAAGTTACTGTGAACATTCAAAAAAGGATGAATGGTTGACGTACCACGCCGGGGAAAACCAGTATAAGAAAACACATTGAAGAACAATTTCCAAATGGCAAATCAAATATTAATAATCTAGAGTAAAGACGCCTTTTTGCGAATAAAGCATTCAACACATAGGAACACAAGTGAAGACAAAAGTGACTAAGAAATTCTTGAAAAAAAATGGCCAAATAATGATACTGATAATGGACGCCATCTTTGATTTCTTGATTACCCGACGATAAGGGTTAAAACTATATACCGTTTCATATTCTGCGAACTCTTGTGAACATTTTGATATATAAAACATACTGTTCCTAGACATAGACCAGTAGGGTCCTACTAACCGGTCTTCGTTTCCTACACAAGAAGTGTTTAAAAAAAACAGCAAGTCTAAGAAACACAGCCAAAAGTACGGCATCTCCAGAAATGCCGAATGTCCAGTAGTTGAACAGTGTTAGGAAGCAAAGCAACTTTTAATTTATAAGCGTTGCAAGATGAACTGTGTACCAAGTCCAGAAATATTACAATTCTACTTGCATCGCATCAATTCAAATAAGACATAATCACTTCATGGCCAAGTTCCTGAAAACATTGAGTCCGCCGCTGGCTGAGATGAATAATGTTGCTGAAAGTTTGTGCAACGGATAAAATGTGTTAGAGGTTAACTTCAACTGGCCTTTTAACATAGGACAATGACCTTAAACAGTAGGTAGCCATCATCAAATACCTTAAACACATTCAAAACGTGTTTGAGTGTGAATGATACTGACACATGAGTATTTATTTAAGAACAGAAATTATAATATTGGAACCCCTTTTTCAATTAAATATGTTGTTGTTGTTGGTGGTGTGGTTGTTTTTGTTGTTGAAAAATTTAAATTGAACATAAGTGTTTATATATTCTCACTTCCCATTGTGATGTATATCATATTTACTCATTCTATGAAAGAAAGCAT